GAAATATACCGGACATGGCCAAATTTTGACAAAGTCCAAACATCATTTGGCGCAAAAAAATTGTTTCAGTGGGGCACATGATGTCATTCAGCAGGGCAGCTACAAACTACTTTGGTCCACGCATTTACTACAATTGGGGGGGCGCATATTTTTTGTGCAAAATAAATGCCATGGGAATATAGTGACTTGGCGCCCACTCACATGCCCATTCACATTGGGCGCACTCAACATTTCATGCAAAAGAATAATGGGTGGAAATACACACTGAAAAATAACAGGTGCAGATGCATACTTAGTGCACACATTTGATGTGCATTCACATTGGGTGCACTCTGACATGACATTTCGTGCCCATTTCACATTGGGCGCACTCTGACATTGAAACAATGCTGGACACAGAATATTTGTAACCCTATCAAAGCACAAGGTACATACAGTGGCACTTGAAAGAATTGTGCCCCCTGTGGAGTGCAAAAGAATTGCGCCCCCTGTGGAGTGCAAAAGAATTGCATCCCTTATGGAACTCAAAATAATTGTCCCCCCCATGGAATACAGATAATTTCACCCCTTGTGGAGCTTGAGATAATTGCACCCCCTGTAGAGCTCAGAATAATTGCGCTCTGGAGCACAAATAATTGCACCCTGGAGCGCAAAAGAATTGCACCCCCCATGGAGCGCAAAAGAATTGTGTCTCTCATGGAGCTTGAAATAATTGCACCTCTAGAGCGCAAAAGTAATTGTGCCCTGGAGCACAAATAATTGCGCCCTGGAGCACAAAAGAATTACGCCTCTCATGGAGCTTGAAATAATTGCACCTCTAGAGGGCAAAATAATTGCACCCCCATAGAGCGCAAGTAATTGCACCCCCATAGAGCGCAAGTAATTGCACCCTGGAGCACAAATAATTGCGCCCTGGAGTGCAGAAGAATTGCGCCCCCCATGGAGCACAAAAGAATTGCGCCTCTCATGGAGCTTAAAATAATTGCACCTCTAGAGTGCAAAATAATTGCGCCCCCATAGAGCACAAGTAATTGCGCCCTGGAGCAAAAATAATTGCGCCCTGGAGTACAAAAGAATTGCGCCCCCAATGGAGCACAAAAAATTGCGCCTCTCATGGAGCTTGAAATAATGCACCTCTAGAGGGCAAAAGAATGCTCCCCCATAGAAGTGCAAGTATTGCGGCCTGGATCGCAAAATAATGGCACCTCTCATGGAGCACAAAATAATGCACCTCTAGAGCACAAAATAATTGCGCCCCCCATGGAGCGCAAAAGATTGTGCCTCTCGTGGAGTGCAAAATAATTGCACAGGTTGGGACTCGCCAATGAGACCAATGGGCGCAGTGCATGGGTGCCATAAACCTCTGCCAAAGTGGGCTGACCCATTGTATGAGGGGCTTTTTTTCATGCCACCCATCCATGGCGAAAAATTCACCTGTTGTTGCCTGCAGGCGCAACAACGAGGCTGCTGTCAACACATTTAAATACTTACTTCACATACAACAGGTTAATAATATATCTATTTAACTTTCTCCTGTGTGGTCCCCCACAGTGGTACTAACGAGGCAGCACTCTGGTTAACTGCCTGAAAGAACGATGGGCGCAACAATGGGATCTGTGCAATTGGGCGCAACCCATGGGCGCCAGAGGCAAAGTGGGCCGATCCGTCCTCTATGGGGCTCTGTTCGTGCGGCCCACCCATGTCGCATGGCCTATTTTAGAGTCTCGGCCCAGTCATTCCCAAGGCCGAATTCTTGACAGCTCGGCCGAGTCCGCTGGCCCGCTGTTGATGGGCGCCTGTCACACACCGCTGGCCCATCAGTGATGGACCCATTTGACTGCCCTAACTGGCTGTTGTGTATGCCAAAAACATTGATTAACAAAATTTTAAACTGTTGAACAATAAGAACATCAGCCATATTGACAGACCAATTCCATTATTTTATTCTTTAACATATTCTTCAGCTGAGTGGTGTTGCCATGGCTACCAAGACTATTTCTCAAAGACATTGTTTAAATATGCAAATTAAATGTGGTTGAAGTTCTTATTGTTCTTCATTTTCTAATTTTGAGAATTAATGTTTTCGGAATGCACATTCGCTTCATTATTTTGCAAGTGGCCACAATTAAGGAGGTACATTTGTCCTGATTATTTATTAGGCCCTGCCTCAAGTGTAAGTGTGATGACCAGTGACATGCCACGTGACAGTATCACACAGCCAATTTCTTGAGACATAGAGTTTGTACTTTCCACAACACCAATTCAATATATTTTTTACAATGGGTTTGATGGAATTAAGTGAATGAATCCACCGAGAGAGTTTTCCATGTAAGAATTGTAGTTATTGCTCCAAAAATGCGCAATCAGCCTGTTTTCCCTGCCAAATTTGGCACTATGGAGAGATTGGTTAATAACTTTTCAACCGCTGCACATATGAACATGATTTGTAGGAGGATTTTACTTAGAATTTAAATTACAATCGATCTACGAGTCCAGAAATTTTATTTGTGGCCCATGTGCCGAGATAGCCTTGAAAATGGGCATTTTAACATAGTTAAGGGGTAGTAATTAAAATTCTGGACTTGTAGGATTAAAGCCACATACTAATCGATGATTTTGTCTCTGCAAATCTAAGCTGAAATCCTATCTGTTGTGAAGCAGATAGCTCAAGTAGGCAACCTTGGGTTAATAGGTGCTGCTGCATAGCCATCAAAGTCAAATACATTGTATATTTCTATACATCTGAATAGATATTATTTATACGATTCCGGTGCATTTTTTTTCATGTAAATCAGTGGAGAAATGACTGAGCTACGTTGTTTACAAGTATGGGCCTTCTAAAAGCAGTGGCCAAACACAGGCTGTAGCAGAAGCGTGACCGCTGTGACTGGAGGTAACAGCGGGCGGTTTTGATACACTGAGGTAGCGAGAATAGACCGTTTGAACGACTATATTCACTAAAGAGTATGTAGCTACAGTTGGCCCTTTTATACTAAGACAGAGGGGGTTTACGTAAGGTGGTAGAGGTGTACGCATAAGCTAGAGATGTACGCATAAGCGTTGAGGACGCGTAATCACTTTGAAGTAGAGACAGACGGGGTAAGAGAATGGTAGAGAGTCCGAGATCTGTAGATTAGATGAGACGTATGAGTGTGATGTGTCACATCCGTTACATACGCCCTCCAGGGATCCTGCAGGGATTCCTTAGTTCTTTTTAAACTGCGATGGCGGATGCACCAGCGGAAGAGTCGCTGTCGCGTTTTCTGAAGTTGGAGGTGGAAGAAGAGGGGTGAGAAGTGGAGGTATGCTTCTTGTATTTCTTGAATTTTAATTTGAGTGCCCACTCTTCTTCCTCAGCGGCGCTCTCAGCGACCTTCCATAACAATCCGTCAACGATCTTCATCTGCTTGGGGGTCAATGCGGAGCCACTGGACGACTCGGAGGTCGGCGTGTCTCTGCGCTTGGTGGGCACGGATTTGGAGGCCCATCCGACGAG